CCCCTTCTCTCTCTATCTCTTTATCAAATTTTCTCTCATTCCCCCCCTCCCCTCCCACCCAACCCCCTACCCATTTCTCTCAAAACAATCTTCCTGCACTCCACCTCCCCACTTGCTCTACTTTCTGCCTTTTCGATGTTCTCATAAAGATAACGAGGCACCAAGGTAAAGGTGTATGCTCTGTTACCCTCTCACAGTTTGTTCTACTTCTAACACATTCCACACCTTATCCCCTTCATTAGTGACGTCGGGGGGGGGGAGAATGGTGAAGAATGGGACGACGAACAGAAGAGAGGGTTTCGAGAGAAGACAGAGAAGGGAAGAGAAGATGAAGAAGATGAGCCGGATTGGGGGGTGGGGGTGGGGGGTTTGAAGAGAAAGAATGCACACACAGGAAAGAATACATACATTCATGGATGTATTTCACTTTCATTCTCTTATACACACGCATGCGGATATATACACTATACACACACCCTCATATACTATCTGATGTACTTTTCATAGGGAAAATATTACAAATCTATGTTTCTTCATTTTCAATTTGCTTGTTTCACCTTCAGATTCGAATCATTAATCATTGAATAAGTTGTCTCAATCTTCCTTTCTACTGTCCTCTACCTACCATTTGCCCTTTTAAACAACAGCTGTATTCATATATTTTTGGTACAATCTCTTTTATCGATGCCTAACTGTTTGGTCCATATGTTTTTCCAATTTTCTTACTTATCCTATCCTTTTTATGGAAGCAATCATTTTTCTCTTTTCAATGCTCTTTCTAGTTGTCTAATTTTCAAGTTATAATAACTACAAATCGAATCTGCTCTAAAGACCACCTGTCTAAGACAATCACCCGTAGAAACGACCGCTTTCCACTTCCTCTTGCGTTTTAAAATATTTTAAAACACTGTTTAAGAGGATCAACAATCTAAGACGATGAATTTTCTTCTTGACAATAAGAAGTTGTCTTTTGGCAGAGTCGACTGTTTGTTTTGTTTAAATTTAGACATCGTGGGAATCAGTGGTTCGTCAAAATAATGACATTGAGGAAAGCAGCATTGTTTCCGCCCGTTTGACAATTTTTATTGAATTTTTGTTTTCCTGCTGGCTCAACACCGTTCATGTCTATTTAAAAACATGGAACCGTTAGCGGCCATTTTCTAGCTAATTTTACCTCGGAATACAATCAACCCAAACCTCCATCAATTGCAAATATCTCACATTTTATCCAAAATAGATAGGTATTTTTTCCACGTAAAGCAAGGCAAACGAACAAACTTTAATAAGGTGATACCAATAACTCCATATAAAATTATTTGACGAGCGCCTGATTTCACCGCGTCGAAAAACATTGCGGTGACAATAAAAATCTTCAATTAGGACACCGTGATTTTTTAACATAATATTCAAAACCTGTGCAAAGCAATCTTTCTGCACTTCCACAAAATGCAGCCGCTGCAATATTTCTGGTGGCGAGACCTTGGACCCGCCAAAAAAGCTGGAAAGTAAAGGGGTTGTTTTGTCTCAATTTTTATGAACTACATATCTCAGGGGCAATTTTCCGAGTCAATTTGTGACATTCGCTCAATGATCAAAGAAACGTTTTTATAACTCTCCTCTTGGCTTCCTTTTCTCACCCTTTTCTTTGTTTTCATTCCATATCGTATGCTCTCTTCCATTTTCTCACCAATTGCCCTGGATTCTCCCCCATTTCTACTCTCATTTTAGCAATCTTTTGCCCTCCCTTACCCCAGCTACACCCCACCCCCTTTTCTTTCTTTCTCTCTTTCTCTCTATTTCCATCTCTCTCTCTCTCTCTCTCTCTCTCTCTCTCTCTCT